TGCAGGGTTCTTATCAGGGCAAAATGTTAGGAGTTCAGTTTCCGGTGCTCAATTCTGGGCTCTGGAAACTGGATCCTGACATGACGTCCTCCTCCTCCTCTCCTTCCTCCTGTAACGAAAACAGGGAACATGTCTATAGGCTTTCTGGGTCAAGAGGGCCTTGATACTTTTTGAGTAACCCACAGTGGAAAACCGGGTGGATTTTCCCCAAATCCTTGGGTAGTTTTAGCCTGTATGTAACTTCATTTATCTTGTCTAAGATTCGGAACGGACCCAAATAACGTGGGGTAAGTTTCTTTGATGGCGCGTCTAACTTAATGTTCTTTGCAGACAACCATACTAATTCGCCTTTCTCTAATTTGTCTCCCTCCCTCCTTTTTCGGTCGGCGAACAGTTTGTGTTTCCTTTGGGCTTCCCGCAGCGATGTGACTACTTCTTCCCAGCTAGCTCTCATTCTGTTTGCCCAATCCTCCCCCCGCCTCTGCCCTTCTTCCTCCCACTCCGGTAACCTGGGAAGGGGGGCCACTTCCTGGCCGTAAACGATTTTGAAAGGGGACTCTCCGGTTGAGGCATGCGGGGCTGCGTTGTACGCCAGCTCTGCGTAGGGGATGAGATCCGCCCAGTCTGACTGACGTTGATTTGTATATGACCTAAGGAATGCCCCTAAAGTCTGCTGGGCGCGTTCTACCCCCCCGTTCGTCATGGGATGGAATGCTGAGCTTAATGTTCTCTCTGCCCCCAGTAGCTGCATGAATTCTTTCCAGAACTTTGTAGTAAATTGAACCCCTCTGTCACTGATAACTTGGTCTGGGCATCCATGTAAACGATAGATATGTTTGACAAACAACTCCGCTAGTTTCTCGGCCGATGGGAGTTTAGGGAGTGTAATAAAATGTGCCTGCTTGGAGAACAGATCAAGGACCGTCCAAATATAACGCTGGCCTTTGCTGGGAGGGAGTTCTCCAACAAAATCGAAAGCAATCGAGCTCCACGGTCTCGTGGGGTCAGCCACTTTTTGTAACAAACCTCTAGGCTTCTGTGTAGGGGTTTTGTTCCTAGCACATATGTCACATTTGGAAACATATAGCTTGATAGCACCTCTCATCCCTGGCCACCAACATTGCCGTGCTATTAGTTTTGTGGTTTTAGTGACTCCAAAATGGCCCGCACTTTTGTTGTCATGACACCTCCTCATCATTTCCTCACGTAACCCTTCAGGAATGTACAGTTTTTTGTTCACGAACCCCAACCCGCTCTTCCATTCCACCTTTTCTTTATTCCCCTTGAGCCATTCATCTTTCTGGTATGCTTGTTTGAGTTCTTCCTCCCACCTATTTCCCCCTCCTTCTTCTACTCCAATTAACTCTTTGTTGTCTCCTGCTTGTGCTCTGGTCACAACTGCCATTCCCCCTCGCTGCACTGATATGAGGCTACTTTCGGGTGCCTTCCCTTCTCCCCCCTCCTGTCGTGGCATCCTAGAGAGCGTGTCTGCGACCATGTTTTCTTTACCTTTGTGAAATTTTAATTCAAATTGGAAACGGGAGAAGTACTGGGCCCACCTAATCTGTTTGGCTGACAATTTGCGGGGGGAAGTTAGGTACTGTAGATTTCTATGGTCGGTCCACACTTCGAATGGGATCCCGCTCCCTTCCAATAGGTGCCTCCAACATTCCAGCGCTTTCATTATTGCTAGCGCTTCCTTTTCCCAGATTGGCCAATTGCGTTCTGTCTCCGTAAATTTTTTTGATAGGAACCCACAAGGCCTCAAGGTTCCTTCAGAATCTCTCTGCATAAGTGCCGCCCCGTATGCCCAATCGGAGGCGTCGCAATGGAGGACAAATTGCTTGGCCGTATCTGGGTGAATCAAAAGCGGTTCTTCTGTGAACCTGCACTTTAAGTTTTCGAAGGCCTCCTGGCATTCCTCAGACCACACCAGCTTAGCCCCCGGGGACCGTGTTTTGGCCGTCTCCCCCTTCCCCTTCGTTTTCAGTAATTCAGTGAGGGGTAATGTGAGCTGAGCGAAGTCTTTTATGAATGAACGGTAAAAGTTTGCGAACCCCAGGAATGATTGCAATTGTTTGCGAGTGATTGGGGGCTCCCAGGTCCTCACGTCTTCTACCTTCGTGGGGTCCATGGTGATGCCTCTATGGGAGATTCTATACCCCAAGAAGTCAATTTGCTTCCTATTAAACTCACATTTGGCTAGTTTGGCGAACAATCTTTATCTAATCTTAATGTTAGTTTTATAGTTAATTAATTTAGTTATTTGTAATAAGTATATTTATATTATTATATATAAATTATTTAATTTCTTATATTAAGTTTGAGATTTAACTAATTTGAATTTTTTTTTAATCAAGTCTCCCCCTTCGTTTTCAGTAATTCAGTGAGGGGTAATGTGAGCTGAGCGAAGTCTTTTATGAATGAACGGTAAAAGTTTGCGAACCCCAGGAATGATTGCAATTGTTTGCGTGTGATTGGGGGCTCCCAGGCCCTCACGTCTTCTACCTTCGTGGGGTCCATGGTGATGCCTCTATGGGAGATTCTATACCCCAAGAAGTCAATTTGCTTCCTATTAAATTCGCATTTGGCTAGTTTGGCGAACAATTTTGCCTCCCTTAGCCTCTGGAGTACTTCCCTCACCAATTGGTTATGCTCCGCCTCATTTTTACTAAAAATAATTACATCATCCACAAAGCAAAAAACTCCACGGTATAACAAAGGGTGCAACACCTCATTAATCATTTGCATGAATGCCCCTCCCCCTCCTTTTAGTCCGTACGGACAGACACAGAACTGGAATAGTCCCAGCGCCGATAAAAATGCAGTTTTCCTCTGGCTTTATCCGGAGTTTGTGGTATGCCTCGACCAAGTCCAGTTTGGTAAACACCCTCCCCTCCGCCAACCTAGACAGCAAGTCCTTGGTTAGGGGCAAAGGGTAACAGGTGGTAGAACTCACAGCATTTAACCCCCTATAATCCACACATAGCCGGAGTGAACCGTCCTTTTTCCGTCTAAATAACACGGGGGCTCCAAGGGGGGAATCGGAAGGTTCGATGAACCCCCGCGCTAGGTTTTTATCAATGTATTTTTTCAACTCGTCCATCTCCTTAGCGGACATCGGGTAGATTTTGGCTTTAGGGAGTGTCACATTTTTGTTCAGTTCAATCTTCACCTCAACCCTCCTTTTTGGGGGTAGCCTATCAGCTTCCTTTTCGTCAAAAACATCTGCAAAGTCTCGGTACTGGGGAGGGATGTCTTGCACCCAATTCTTCGGTGGCGTGCTCTCCTCCCCTCGGTTGCCCACCCCCGCTGTTGTTTCAGGGAATCTCAAGCAATCTCAAGTTCTTATCAGGGCAAAATGTTAGGAGTTCAGTTTCCGGTGCCCAATTCTGGGCTCTGGAAACTGGATCCTGACAGCAGACCATACACTCATCCCAAAACCCCTATCCCAAACAAAATAAAACCTCTTCCCCACACCCGTGCACCTTTCACCATGACTTCCAACACCGAAACATTATGAAGCCTTTAAGCCTATTTATATCCTTATTCATGGTAAACCTAAATTCCTAAGGGAGCTCCTCTATATTACTGACTCTATATCCCACTGGAGCATTGCAACACACCCAAATACCTGGGAGTCACTTTGGACCGTGCTCTGACCTAGAAGAAGCACTGCCTGAACATCAAGCAAAAAGTGGGCGCTAGAAAAAATATCATACGAAAGCTTACTGGCACAACCTGGGGATCACAACCAGACACAGTGAAGACAGCTGCCCTTTCGCTATGCTACTCTACTGCTGAGTATGCATGCTCAGTGTGGAACACATCTCACCACACTAAAACAGTGGATGTGGTTCTCAATGAGACATGCTGCATTATCACGGGGTGTCTGCGCCCTACACCACTGGAGAAATTACACTGTTTAGCTGGTATTGCACCACCTGACATCCGCCGGGAAGTAGTAGCCAATAGTGAAAGGACCAAGGCAGTGAAATCTCCAGCCCATCCCTTGTTTGGGTATCAGCCAGCACGTCAACGACTTAAATCAAGAAATAGTTTTCTAAGATCTACAGAGACACTTGCTGGAACACCTCAGCAAGCGAGAGTCCAAAAGTGGCAGGCTCAAACCCAGAACTTCAACCAATGGCTGATAGCAAATGAAAGACTCCCCCCTGGGCACACGGAAGACTGGGCGACTTGGAAGGCACTGAACAGACTGCGCTCTGGCACCACGAGATGCAGAGCCAACCTTCAGAAATGGGGCCACAAAGTGGAATCCACAACATGCGAGTGTGGAGAAGAGCAAACCATTGACCACCTGCTGCAATGCAACCTGAGCCCTGCTACATGCACGATGGAGGACCTTCTTGCGGCAACACCAGAGACACTCCAAGTGGCCAGCTACTGGTCAAAGGACATTTAATCAACTACCAAGCTTGCAAACTTTGTGTTTTTTTTTAATCTGTTTGTGTGCTTTGTTCTGTTAGAAATGTAATACAATGGTCTGGTTGCCCCTGACACGATAAATAAAAATAAATATTGAATCGTGCCAATCTGTAACCCGCCTTGAGTTGCCGTATGGTTGAGAAAGGTGGGTTATAAATGTCGCAAATAATAAATAAATAAATAAATAAATAATATCAGGAGAGAGTCAATTTTTATGTTTTACTGTTCTTTATTGATGGCATTGAATTGTTGCCAACACTGTTTATTTATTTGTCATTTCTATACCCCACCCTTCTCTACCCCAGCAGGGGGACTCAAGGCGGCTTACAATGGCACATACACAACATAATCACCTTAACATTGTTTAAAATTACAACATATTTAAAATGGTTAAAATACATTCCTCCCAGTTTGATGGCATCTGCAAACTTGATAAGCACGTCTGCTGAAACTTCACATCTCAAATTTCTATTGCAGAAACATTTATGCCCAGTGTAGTTGAAATAAGACAACAAAGTTTTCTAATACAAAGCTTGAAATAGCACACTTACGGTCTCCATGGCATCGCAGAGGGCCCACAGTTAACTTGGCATCTGATCCAGGCCGACCAATGTCTCCAACTATCACTTGAATGACAGGTAGATGCTCTTTGTAAGACAGGAGGCCAGAATCTTTTCTCCTGAGTGGCAAAAAGAAAAAAAGGAAATGAAAAAGAAAGAAATATGTTTGATAAGAAATCTTTCTAGTATGAGGATCACCATATACTAGAATTGCCTTTATAAGAAAGATATTCCTAAAATGAATGACTGGTCAAATAAATAAAAAATTATTATTATTATTATTATTATTATTATTATTATTATTACTTTATGAATGCAACTCATAGAATCATAGAATCAAAGAGTTGGAAGAGACCTCATGGGCCATCCAGTCCAACCCCCTGCCAAGAAGCAGGAATATTGCATTCAAATCACCCCTGACAGATGGCCATCCAGCCTCTGTTTAAAAGCTTCCAAAGAAGGAGCCTCCACCACACTCCGGGGCAGAGAGTTCCACTGCTGAACGGCTCTCACAGTCAGGAAGTTCTTCCTCATGTTCAGATGGAATCTCCTTTCTTGTAGTTTGAAGCCATTGTTCTGCGTCCTAGTCTCCAGGGAAGCAGAAAACAAGCTTGCTCCCTCCTCCCTGTGGCTTCCTCTCACATATTTATACATGGCTATCATATCTCCTCTCAGCCTTCTCTTCTTCAGGCTAAACATGCCCAGCTCCTTAAGCCGCTCCTCATAGGGCTTGTTCTCCAGACCCTTGATCATTTTAGTCACCCTCCTCTGGACACATTCCAGCTTGTCAATATCTCCCTTCAATTGTGGTGCCCAGAATTGGACACAATATTCCAGGTGTGGTCTAACCAAAGCAGAATAGAGGGGTAGCATGACTTCCCTAGATCTAGATTCTAATATTACTCTGTAATACTGTAAATTGGCACTATAAAGAATGGACTAATTAGTGTTTTAACTGTAGGATTTTGTTGGAATTCTAATTCCAAAAAATCCAGGTCCTGCTGCTTTACGGATTCCTGAAGTTACTCCAGATGTCTTGACGATTCTATTGTCATAGGCTGAATTTGTGCTGATCCTCTCCTTGTTTCTTGAGCTGTTTTTCTGTGTCATCATTGCTTTCTATCTTTGGTTAACAATGAGTTAACCTTTGTTGTATTTATAAACTTATAGTTCAAGACTCTGATCATTCAGAGTCTTGAACAGCACAGCTATCTATGTGCCCCAAATATACTGTATATTAATTATTATAGCCAATATAATAAAGTATCATAAAATTGTATGATAACAACAGAGAGGAAACAAACAAGGACATCTAATCACCTCTCAACAAAAGTTTGCTCTAGGCACTGTCAGGCCATTATATGCTAATCAAGGTGGTCAGTTGAAACATTCACACTTAGCTCCAGCAGACAAGAGTCCTTTGTCTCACCCTGGCCATTCCACAGATATATAAACCCTTTTTCCCAGTTCCAACAGACCTCACTACCTCTGAGGATGCTTGCCATAGATGCAGGTGAAACGTCAGGAGAGAATGCCCCTAGACCATGGCCATATAGCCCAAAAAAAACCTACAACAACCTAACATAAAATTCAAAATCTTAAAAATAATTAGAAATACAGTGATTATAACTAATTATTTATAATATAGGCAGGATTAGGCAGTATTGCCCTTTTAAATTGTTGAACTTTCTTACACAAATATAATATATATTTATTTCTACTCTCATTCAATCAGAGTTAGTTAGTCTTAAAGACTTACTTAAAAATGGAAGCCCCAATTTATAGACACTGTTGAGTCAATCAATTGGTCTAACACTTAGTAAAAAGATTAATACCAAATGCCAGTAGATGTCTCTCTAGGCTTTTTAAAAGGCTTTTAATTCAGTCACAAGCAACACCTCTGTCTAAAGATGAAACCAGTTAAACTTTGAAAGCCTGAATAATGTATTTTATGTGTTGGAGTTAGCCAACTAAACGACTGGGTACAGATTTTTATTTTGTTGTATATTACTGCATGGCCAACATGGCTACCCCTAAATATGTTTTCTGTTTTTAACAGTGGACTTACTCTTGTTTAGAATCAGCATCACAGTTGCAATAGTATCTGGAATCAGTACAGTTCCGTTCGATGCCACAGGCACATTTCTGAATACCTGGTCCAGAGCCACCCCAGTAGTAGTGTTTTTCATTAGCACGTCCAATCCACCAAGTTAAAGGATTATCCTCTATAATGAAAAAAAAAAAAAAAGGAGATGAATTAATTGTGTTCAATGCAGCAGAGATCACCGATGCCAAAACTTGATGGTTTTATGTACATGGAATTACAGCAGTGATTCAGTACATCTGGAAAAGAAATGTATTGATCAAACATAGTTGTAAATACCATTACAGGCACATAAATAAAATAATTTAGAAATCTACACTGTAATATCGATAGAGTTTGGCACCATTAACTGCCATGGTTCAATCTCTGGAATCTTTAGATCTGTGGTTTGATGAGGCACCAGCACTATTTGGCAGAGAAGACTAAAGACCTTGTAAAACTTTGTTGTTATTCATTCGATCAGTCGTTTCTGAGTCTTCGTGACTTCATGGACCAGTCCATGCCAGAGCTCCCCGTCGGTTGTCACCATCCCCAGCTCCTTCAAGGTCAATTCTGCCGTCACACTCAGATCCTATAAAAATAAAACTAAGACGTGCTTCTCTCTTTGTCAAGGCGGACTGCACGGGTCTTTCTTTAGAAGCTTGAGATTCCCAGAATCTGAGGCTACTACAGGTTTTGAACACCAAAACAGAATATTTATTTCTCAAAGTCCTGGCAGACTTGGCACAGCTTGTCAAAGTTACAAACAAAACAGTCAATTGGTGAAACCATAGAGATGATCTTTCTTTCTTTTTTCCTCTAGTCACTGAGTTGCCTTACTCCAAATGGTAGAAAAAATCCTAAGATCTTTTTATCCCAACCTTGAGCTACTATCTTTTAGAAAGCATAGGCCTTCCCTATTCCAGCCAAAGGTTAGTTTTGGAGATGAAGCAAACAGTGTCCATTGGACACTGTCCAATAACTATCTCAATAGTTCTTTATACTGTTGTTGTTCATTCGTTCAGTCGTCTCCGGCTCTTCATGACCTCATGGACCAGCCCACGCCAGAGCTCCCTGTCGGCCGTCACCACCCCCAGCTCCTTCAAGGTCAATCCAGTCACTTCAAGGATGCCATCCATCCATCTTGCCCTTGGTCGGCCCCTCTTCCTTTTACCTTCTACTTTCCCCAGCATAATTGTCTTCTCTAGGCTTTGCTGTCTCCTCATGATGTGGCCAAAGTACTTCAACTTTGTCTCTAGTACCCTTCCCTCCAGTGAGCAGTCGGGCTTTATTTCCTGGAGGATGGACTGGTTGGATCTTCTCGCAGTCCAAGGCACTCTCAGAACTTTCCTCCAACACCACAGCTCAAAAGCATCTATCTTCCTTCGCTCAGCCTTCCTTAAGGTCCAGCTCTCCAATATACTAAATAGCTCAAAATCTCAATATGCTTTCTATAACTCAACTAAGACTCAATTGCCTTTCTTAATAACTCAATTTGGCTCAATTCTTTCCTTTACTCAATTGTACTTACAATGATTTTTTTCAGAGCTCTCTGACTGGCCTTACAGCACATCTGAGGCTTCTCTCTCAAACTGAAGGAGGCAGGGGAGATTCCAAAATGGAGATCTCAAGCCCAGGAAAAAAGGCGGTCTCTAAACTCAAAGAGATACTTTCCTAAACCAATAGCTGCAAAAGGGCCTCCAGGCTGGCTTTGCAGACTCTGATACTGTTTAACTTCCAGGGTGCTGCTGGGTCTGTAGCAGCCCTGGAGAAATGCAAAAGAACACTATCTCATGTAAGTAAAAGGCAATGTAAACCATGCTCCTGGAAGACAGAACATCAATCTAGTCACTTCAAGGATACCATCTATCCATCTTGCCCTTGGTTGGCCCTCTTCCCTTTTCCTTCCATTTCCCCCAGCATCATAGTCTTCTCTAAGCTTTCCTTTCTTCTCATGATGTAGCCAAAGTACTTCAACTTTGCCTCTACTATCCTTCCCTCCAATGAGCAGTCGGGTTTTATGTCCTGAAGTATGGACTAGTTGGATCTTCTTGCTGTCCAAGGCATTCTCAGAACTTTCCTCCAGCACCACAGTTCAAAAGCATCTATCTTCCTTTGCTCATCCTTCCCTATGGCCCAGCTCTCACATCCATAGGTGACTATGGGGAATTCCATTGCTTTTACTATGCGGATCTTTGTTGCCAGTGTGATGTCTCTACTCTTCACGATTTTATCAAGATTGGACATTGCTCTCCTCCCAAGTTGAATAGGTTGGGTGAGAGTATACAACCCTGCCGTACGCCTTTCCCAATCTTGAACCAGTTGGTTGTTCCATGGTCAGTTCTGACTGTTGCTATTTGGTCCTTATACAGATTCTTCAGGAGAGACACAAGGTGGTTTGGTATGCCCATATCACCAAGAACTTGCCACAATTTATTATGATACACACAGTCAAAGGCTTTGGAATAGTCAATGAAACAGAAATAGACCTTTTTCTGAAACTCCCTGCTTTTCTCCATTATCCAGCAGATATTGGCAATTTGGTTTCTCATTCCTCTGCCTTTTCTGAACCCAGCTTGTAAAACTACAACTGCTTAAATTCCATAGCATTGAACCATGGCAGATAAAGTGTAGATCCACCTCATGTCATTCTAACAAACAGTGACCTCAAAAATATTGACCTTGACCACAAAATCCCTCTAGATTTTGTTCAGGATCACTACTTTAGGGTGTCAGTTTATTCTTATTTCCGTGGAACTGCAAAATATAACATTTCAGTCATAGTACCCCCAAATCAGGCAGACACTGTAGCTCACATATTAGCTGGTACAAGTTTCATGTTTATCATTTGGAAACAGTACATTGTAAACAGATAAGGCAATCCATCATCTTGATAAGTTATCTGCTTCTAATGCATTTCCTTTAGAAAAGTTTTCAAAGTTAAACTGGGCAGTGTTCTTTGACAGCAAATGCACAGATCTGTGCTAATATGCATGCACAAAGGAGGACCCAATTGTTGGCAAGTGTCCTCCTGAGAGTAAAATAAGACAAATAAGCTAATTTGTTTGGTGACAGAAGCCCTGGACTTATGAACTAGTATTTCAATGAGGTGAAATCAGTATATGTTAATCACACACAACACCTAGCTTCCCCCTTTTCTCCCAAACTATTTGTAATGATGGTTTTAGGGAGAAAAAGGATGCCATCAGTCTCCATTTGGATCACCATTTGTCCCTCTTCTGGTTGCTTCTGAATGTAATACAAATGTCTGGTTGCTCCTGACACGATAAATAAATAAATAAATAAATACCATTTGTCCCACATTCCAAACTTCCTTTTAGAAACGTCTCTAGACCCTGCAGATAATGGGACAAAATATTGAGGGAAGTTCCCTAAAAATGGAACAGGGGGCAGCCAAAAACCAGACATCAAAAATAGCACAGGTTTTTGCAAAATTGCACACTCCTACCAGTCAGTCGCCGATTATCTACCAGGATGAAGGCAGAATGATCTGAGCAGCCCACAGAACAGCCCAAAATAGTTGAACGGCCCAATTTTGGTACTAGGGAAGCCCTTAATATGCCACCTGTTTGCTCTAGCAAAAACCATATTACATAACAAAATTGATTGTGCAGATCGCAAATTGCTGTACGAACATATATAGTGCTCTACTGATCCTCATATGCACATTGTGGTGGGGAAGAGTTAAAATAAAAAACAAAATTTTTCTGGAGCTGTTAAACCGCTGATACTGCAGATTCGAAAACCAGTTGGAGGCTAGCCTCTGCAGTATGTGTAAGTACTAGGCATGGTTAGGTCCAGTCGGAATCTTTGGTATTCGGAATAAAGTCTGAAAGATTACCTTTTTGAAGCAATTTCAAACTTTTTTAGGAAACCAGAAGGTCCCTTGCCCTTCCGAAGCTAGTCTTTTTTTTCGACTCAGGAAGTGAGTCGGAAATTATTCAGCTTTACTTCCGCTTCTGGTCCCTGGCCTCGGTTCAAGCCAGAGAAGCCAGTTTTAAACCAGAGAAGGGTGAATTTCCTCCCGTTTGCTTTTCTCACTTGTGGCTCAAGCCAGAGAAGCGAGTTATAACCAGAGAAGGGTGAATTTCCTCCCGTTTGCTTTTCCTGCTTCTGGCTCAAGCCAGAGAAGTGAGTTATAAACCAGAGAAGGGTGAATTTCCTCCCATTTGCTTTTCCTGCTTCTGGTTCTAGCAAGAGAAGCCAGTTTTAAACCGGTGAAGGAAGGAATTTCCTTCGCTTGCTTTCCCCCGCTCCTGGAATAAAACAACTACTTTCAAAGTAAAGACCACCCAATGAAACAGGAAATAACATTTTCAAACCATTAATGAAAGGATTCGGAAGTCTCGGAAGTTACGAAAAGTTTTGAATTTTTTTTCTGTGAAAATCGGAATTGACTTTAAAATCAGACCACCAGCGCCCCTACATCCAAAATGAGTTTTGAACAATTTTTTTAATCAAATAAGCCTAGTAAGCACTATCCTGGCCTTGAAGCGGTTCAGGGCAGCAGTGTAATCTTCCAAACAGTGAAACCTCCTCTTTCTATGTTGTTTTTGCCCCAGATTAAGTGGTCAGTGTAGATCAGGATGGATCATATCTGTATATGCCTTACATCAGAGGTCTCACTTAAATAGTGCAAAATCCTCCTCCTTTTCCTTCATTTAAAATATGCAAAATTCCAAGTCAATTGCAGCAGCAAATATTTATTTAGTTATTTATTTATTTACTTTGCTTCTATACCGCAGTTCTCAGCCCGGAGGCGACTCACCGTGGTTCACAACACACAAAAAACAACAAAAATTCGATGCACCAATATAAAAACAGTTAACGACCTAATCTAATACATAGTTAATACACAATTACTATAATAACCAATCACTAGCGTTTCATCACTAAAAACATGATCCAGATTCGTCATCCATTGTTCCATTCCTATGTCATCACCAATCATTGCACTAATTATTCGAACGCCTGCGCAAATAACCAGGTCTTTACTTTTTTGCGGAATACCATTAGAGATGGTGCTAATCTAATGTCTGTAGGAAGTGCGTTCCACAGCCGGGGAGCCACCACCGAGAAGGCCCTATCTCTCATCCCTGCCAGCCGTGCTTGTGAAGCTGG